GAGCTCCAACCAACGTGTACACGCACGCACGACCAAACCAAAACCAAAACCTACTGTAGATAGCTTTGATGGTAGAAAAACGTAGAAGTATGATAGTTTCTCTCATTGATAAACATGTCAAGGCTTTGCTTCTTCTTTTTAACAACATTATTTTTATAAATTCATTGAAAACAATATTATTTTATAAAATTCATCGAAACAGTGTAAACTTCATGAAAAAAGGGATAAAATGCAGAGAGGAACATAAAAATGACTGAAAAAAGAGTTTGAATGAGCGCATTCTTTTGCTAATCGATCTGATGGTTTGTTGCTAACTCGAGACGTCCAAATGACTTAAGCCTTTGTAAACCTTCGTTGCCAATCTTGAATATCACAAATCCAATTGTGCACTGCGAAGTTTGTCTCGAGCCCATTAATGAGGTGCGTCACAGATTTGTTATCACCTTCAAAAATTACTTGACGGTAACCTCTAGACAAAATGTTATATCAAAGCTTGGCTTTATATACAAAATTTTCTACCTCGTTACATTTTAAGTAAATTTTCAAAGTATACAATAATATTAACTAATTGCAAAATGTAATGAGGTAGAAGATTTTGCAAAATAACATGTAAACACAAGGTATCACGAAATTTAGTTATCTCATACAATATATTTTTAATCTTTGTCGATGTTTTCAGTCTTTAAAATGTATCCGTTGTGCGTTTTTTTGTTCGACTGGTCTGCCTATCTTCTTTCTAATCATCATATGTATGTCATGTGTCGGGAGAGACCCCTCCAGAGTTTGGAATATCTCGGTTAGCGAATTGTATACATTTTATTCGAGAGATCAATTTACCATATATGAAAACGTCAAATTTTAATTTTAATAATTAACCTATGCGTTTGTGGCATATTGGTAAACATGACATTGAGTGTGAACTCACACATGTTAGACACTTCGATTTTTTATACGATTTTTTTTAATTACAATTTAACTATTCATTAGTAAACCCAATTATAATTATTTGATGGAGGGGTTTCGGAGAAATAAAACGACGGATTTTAAGCTCACCTCAATAGCGATTTTTTCGATTTTAAATTTTGCAAATTATAAGAATAAACTTGTATCATATGTCATATTTTTTAACTGTAAAATAATCATATTCAGATCGTTAAAAAAAGTAANACCATAAATAAAAATAGTTGAAACATGCTCATTTAAAATTAATTGAAGTCCAGCCCAATAACACAAGAGAGAAACCCTACATGTCGTGTTTCTCTCTACTTCTTTTTTTTTCATGATCCCTGGTCCGGTCCGGTTTTCAAAACATTGTTTTTTTTCTCATGACCGCGATTAAAGCTTGCGAAGTTGTCTTTCTCTAGCAAATGAGAGGAGATAATCTTTATCTCAGGTTGAATCTCAACTTGCAGCATATTACCATATAAATGTTTGGACTTTTTGCTAATATTTTTATTTACCTAATAGATATTGGAGTTCAGCCAAGACAATTAACTTATGACATATGAAAAATTCATACCAAGAAACTTTCTAGCCCTAGTCGAAGCTTCAAACGTTTTAACAAAAATGTTGTTAATTTATTTTCGGGTTATTCATATAAGTATAAACAAATTCTTACCAAATATTTTACAGAGTACAAGATACTAGTACAAAATTGAGACAAAAAGCCATTTTGTCATTTGAATTTTTCGATTAGCAATTCGGATAGGCATATCCAACCTGTATTCTTATCTACCAATTTTATTTAATCGATTTATACAAACCGGACCAAACCGTAACTGAAACCACCCATAAGTTTTACGAGTTTCGGATATGCGGGTCGGATACAGGTCTGCAAGGGCCAATTACCCGAATTACCCACGAGTTATTTAACACCTTAAAAATAAAAAGTTACGCGAAAAATCGGTTTTTACGAGTTTTTTTTTGTGTTGTTGCTTTTCC